GCAACAACGGTTGCGCACCTGCCAGGGCCATCATCCCTGTCAAATAATACCATGCGGGACACATTCGTTTTTTCTTCGCGCGCGCACGCCGTCGTCGTCGGCCGCGGGGCCCTGAATAGTAGCCACGGTCGTCCGCATGCCACGAAGTGAAGTGTCCGAACGTCATAGGGCGGGAAGCTGGGTGTGGGTGGTGGCGAAGAGTCGTTTGGAAATTTGGTAGAGCTTGAACCGGCCCCCCCACAAAGTGGGGGTATTGCCCGCCTCCTATGAAAACCCTGGCACTGGTGAGAACGGAGTGTCCCCACGTGCTAGTAATTGTGGTTGTTGTTGTTGATGCTGTTGTTGGTGCTGTTGTTTGAAACGAGGGGCCAGCATTATACTTTGAGCCTGAATCGTTTCCATTAAGATAATCAGGGTGCGAGCCCCGAGGTGGGTACTTCAATTAAACAAAACACAGCATGCACATGTGGGAGAAACAAAACCAATCTATTTTCAAAACTGATAGCTCAATAACAACAGCAACACCCACCACCAACAGCAGCAACGACAACAACGACGACAGCAACGCCACCAACAACAAACACAACAGCAACAACAACAGCAGCAGCAACAACAACAACGGTTCCCGTTTGTTACTTCTTCACAATGTATTCCAACATCGCGCTGTCGCGCGGGACTTCCTCATACTTGATGCAGAATCGCGCTCTCGCGTGGTGCTTCCTCGGTATGTATTGCGGCGCCGTGCCCCCGACACTTCGCAATCACACCCCTCTGTGGTCCTCGCGATTTACTTGGGAATCGCGTCATCGCTCGAAACTTCCTCGCGATTCATGTTGGATTGACGCTTCGGCGACCCGCCCGCTCCACCCGGCCGTCTGGGCTCGCCCGCCCGCTTTCCCGCCGGACCCGCCCGTTTGGTTCTGGCGCTGATACTCCTGCTCCTGCCCCCCTCTTGCAAATCTCTCCCGTGCTCCATCCTTTTCCCTCCCCTTTGTCTCTTCCCTCCTCCCTTCCTTCCCCTGTTTCAGCGGCTGCTATAACTACGCGAGGCAGGTAGGCAAGATGTGCCCCTCAGGGGGGCACCATGGAACTCGAAGAGGTCGGGTATCGAGTGTTTGGAGCACACGTGTGGAATGACACGCGAGCAGGGAGGAGCAAAAATATGCTTACATTCTCCACCCGGAAGCGGCAGCCAGCGTCACAATGGAAATTCGGGCCCTGGCGCACGCCATCCAAACGGTCAGGCTAGCAGTGCAGGCCCGATCCCGTGAACATCTCGAGGATACGCTCGGCCCCATTTGCACTTCCAGGGACTTTTCACGGAGCTGGTGTTATTCGACTTAGTTTCACTTTTTCTGGTCTCCTCTGGGGCCAGGTTGCCCGGGCATTAATTGTCACAGGTGGCCCCCAAGAGTTAGTAGCATGTTGCATGAGCCCCTCCTGGCAGGTAGCAGAGCAAGAGGACTGCAGCCACCGTGGCATAGCAGAGTCACAACATAATGACTATTGTTGATCTCCGGAAACGGTTCCGCGCGCTCTCGCCTCGACGCCGGCTACAGTTTTCTTTGAAAACGAGTCTCCCGCTCGAGCGTTGGCTTGACCCTAAATGTGGGCCCTTGGAGGCCCAGCTATGACCACAACGGCTCCCGATCGATCCCGAAACACACTGGCCAGAGAGGCCCCCTGACTTAGGAACGGCGCTCTCGCTTGAGACTTCCTAGTAATTCAATTAAGCTGGCGGAGGCCCAGCCACGACGACCAGGGCTCGCTCCTGCTCGATGCTTCCTCACGATTTACTCCGAGAGCCCCTGGCCAAGAAGGCCCCCGAACTCGGGCATGGCGCTCTCGCTCGAGGCCTTCCCGTAACTCAGGCAAGCTGGTGGAGGCCCGGACACGGCGACTAAGGGCTCCCGTTCGATATTTCTCCACAGGTATTCCGAGAGTAAAACACGGCTAGGATCGGGATAACTCGATCCAGAGCGTTCCGGAGCGCTCTCAGAGCGTTCTGGAACGCTCTGGAGCGGCCGCGGCGCCCAATACATCCTCCAAACCCGCCGATTCTCAGAGATTCCGAGTTATCCCGATCCGATTTTGTCCCGATCTTCGCGTCGTGTTAGAGAGCCCCTGGCCAGAGAGGCCCCCGAGCTCAGGAACGGCGCTCTCGCTCGAGCGGTCTTCGCACTTCGGCCGGTGGCCGGTGGCCGACAAGGGAGAGATGCCCCCCCAAATGGGGGTACAATCGAAGACGAAGTGGGCGGGCATCGAGGGTTGGGGTATACGGAATGCAAGACACGCGTGCCAGTAAGGGCCATCAGTCTTAAGCTTATTGTTGTTTTTGTTGATGGTGTTGTCGATGTTGCTGTTGTGGTGGTGGTTGTTGCTGCTGGTGCTGTTGTTCTTGTTGCTGATGTTGCTGTTGTCGTTTTTGTTGTGGCTGTTGTTGTTTATGTTGCTGTTATTGATGTGGCCGTTTTTGTTGTTGTCGTTGTGGCTGCTGTTG